ATTGAGCCTTGTTGCCTGGATACTTCCTCTTCCAGACCAGAAGTTTAGATGGGAAGGAGTAAGAGTTCAGTTGACCCTAGCTGATCAGTGTGTGTATGGCTAGGCTCAGGTGAAGGGTTCTGGCCACCTTTGTCTACCCCAGTGTTGCACTGGGGAGGTGGCAGACCAGAGTCAGCTGTCATCGAGCATGCCGAGGCTCTGGGTTCAAGGCCATGGTCTTGAAGGTGGATGGAAAGGTGAACGGATGGAAAGAACTGGGTGTGTGTGTATAGAGGTGGGTCCCAGCGTATGGCTCTCCCTCTCACTCCAGCTGCATGCAGCCCCTGCTCCAGAGTGACCAGTGCTTCACTGACCAGGTCACCCCAAAGACCTTGAACTTTCCAAGAGCTTTCAGCAGACACCCATATAATGCTGGCAATGCCCCATACCCTGGCCTGGAAATTTCCAGGGACATCTACCTGCACACTGAGGCAGCTGGCCATGCCCATCCTACTCTTGAAGTTTCCAAGGGCATCTGACTGCTTGGCCTGGCTTGGATGCTCAGTGCCCCCCTCTCCCTAATCCTAATACTCTGGGACCCAGTAGCTGTGGGCCAAAACACCCTTGCAGTACCCCTGGTGCACATGGCCCTGATACCTGCCAGCAGCAGGCCAGCTGCAGAGCTCACAAGGTTGCCTCCATGCAGACCCAATCCCCATGCTCTGCTTCCACCTCCCTGACTCACCATAGGCAAGCTGCCTGCATTGGATCCTGCTTGCGGGGTGGGATGTCTGTGTTGGCATCTGGGTCACATGGTGTCTGGGTCTGGCCTCTGAAATGAGGGTTGTGGGTTCCAAGGCTGGGCTCTGTGGGCCTGTGCCCAAGCACAGGGGCATGGGGGTCTCTGGATGGGTGTGCAGGTGCCATGGTCAGGGTCCATAGGGCTGTGCCTGAGTGCAGGGGTTTTCCTGCTCAGTGTTGGGATCTGTTTGTATGTCATGGGGTGCTTCATGATAGCATGTTGAGGGCACAGGGGCCCAAGTCCCAGATCTCATGCCGGGGTCACAGATGCCCTGCTTCCCCCTGCTGCCTGGCTGTAACTGATGGATGACTGGAAGCTGGAGGTGGGGCTGTGCTTGATTGGCACTGGATCAGCCTGGAGGCAGGGCCTGCTGGGCACTTGGCTGGAGCATCCAGGTGCGGGCCTAGCGCTAACTCTCCTCCCTGCAAAGGAGGGGTTGTAGGGGCTATAAAACAGGCTGAGATGCCAGAGGACAGCAAGATATCTTGAACTGATAAATAAGTAAAATCCTAGTAGCATTTCATCAGGACCGTATCTAGATAAATGCCTACCTAACCTCCTTTACACCCCTTCATCGTTCTGGGAAGCAAATGCCCAGCCTCTGCCACAAACCCTATCAAGTGAATTTCAGAATCCTGGAACTTTCACAGAAAATGCCCTGTTAGGCACTGCCTCAAGTTTCTGGCAAGGATATTCAACTTGTGCTCCTTTGACCATGGCCCTACTGATGTGGCACAGAGAAATACAGTGGCAGTCTCTCAAATAGGGCTGCCCCAGATCATTTAGGACTTTATATGGCATAAAGAATACCTTAAAACTCTACCCAGAGCCCAGGATGTATAAATGAGCTCTACTGAAGAGAAACCTGAACTCTTGGAACGTATGTTGAAGTTTGGACCCCAGTCTCAGCATTAGTTATGCTAGAGGCATTGTTTTGTGGGCACAGCTGAGGAAGGTGGATGTGAATCTGTTGTGTTCTTGGTTCTAGGGCCAGAAGACCACCTATCTAGTCTATGGCACGAGATCACATCATCTTAAGGGAAATTTGGGACATTCAGAAACTGCTGGGACAGGAAGCCAGCCTAATTATTGCCCCCTTTTTCTAAGGCCATAAGGGCATGTCATAAAAGCTGCTCTGGTGACACCACACACATTTCAAATACTCTTGTACACATGGGACCACCCAAATGAGTCCTTCTTGAGCCTTGGGGCTGGTGAATGGGGCCACTAGTGACTGCTAAAATGAATATCTTTATAAGCTGAAATGAAGCAGAATTTTTAATTTTCCTTTTCAAGTAAATATTTATCCCAATAGTTGTCAATCTGAGTGAGGCCCCACCAGAAGTGCTGTGTCCAGTTTTGGTTCCCAGACTTCAAGAAATATGTGGACAGATTGGAAAGAGTCCAACAAAGAGTGACAAAAAATTATTAGAGACCAGGAAGCAAGACTTATGAGGAAAGACTGAAAGAACTAGCGTTATTTACTCTGGAGAAGAGAAGACTGAGGGGGGGATTAGATAACACCAAATTGGTTTCTGGCAGAGGGGAGATTAGATCATTCCAAATACCTGAAGAGGATGGAGATGGCATATCTTCTGTGGCTGTAGAAGACAGGACTAGAAGCAATGGCCTTAAGCTGCACCAGAGGAAATTTAGGTTGGAAATTAGGAAGAACTTTCTGATGGTGAGAGTTGTCAAGCGTTGGAACTGGCTATTTAGCGAAGTTGTGCAATTTCTGCCCCTGGAAATTTTCAAGAGCAAGTTAGATACTTGGCAGTGACAGTTTAATCAGTAATGATCCTGCCTTAAGCAAGGGGCTGGATTAGATGATCTCATGAGGTCCCTTCCAGCCCTAGTTTCCTATGATCCTACATGAAAGGTCCCATGCCTCCCAAACAGAGTGTGAAGTTAACATATGTATACTATAGTTTGTGTCCTGAATACCGGACATGTTATAATTACCTAAACTATACATCTTCCAAAGTGAAAAAGGTTTTTCAATTCAAATAAGAGCTTATGTCCCTGAATTTACCTTTCTGTTTACCTTGTATAAGCTAAAGAGGAAAACGGATTTGTATCATATATCTGACAAGCTCAAAATCACTGAATAATTTTCATCTGGAAACAGATGCTTACTATCACATATCTGAACTCATTTTGTTCTTTCTGTGGACTGAATCAATATCTTTACATGTTAGGTGTGTCCTTTTTATATGCTTGTGAAATCACAATGGATTAAGGGCTATTTTTCTTCTTTGTTGTTAATATACTCATGCTCTGTCTTCCTTTGTGCCAAAGAATTTGACTACTGCCACGTTTCCTTAAAAATATTAACCTCTATAATTATATGCAATGAATTATAGGACCTGAATAACTGTAAAAACACAAGATCAAAAGCATCTGTTGACAGATATATATTTTCAAAGACACATGCATCATAATAAAGTTTTTTCAGCA